TGTGAATGTTTGGGCTTAAGTTATAAGAAATATAATGGGTTGTGGCTTGAATAAAATATTTTCTTACTAAATTTTTTTATTGGGCTACATCAATAAATCAGATTGGGCTTCCAAAAATTATGGACGTTGTATATAAAGAAGTATTTAATTATATTTGAATTTTCTTTCTTAAAACTTTTTTTTCAATGATTATGTTATAATTTTTACTATTGTTTATATTTTTTATTATTTTATTTTTTTATTATATAGTTTTCCGTGCAAATGCACGGGTAACAACTAGTTTTTCATAAAAAATTCACATAAGAAATGAACTCGCACCAAATATGATCAACCGTTCTATACTCATTATCAACCGTTCTATACTCATGATCAACCTTTAAAACATAAAATCGCATCAAATAAATTGTCTACCAAAAGTGCAAAATCTATAAAAGAAAATCTCTTATACCAAACCAAAAATGAGAAATCTCTCAAGGTGGCTCTTAGTATATTTAAATCTTCATCTTAAGTTCAAACATTCTATTCATAACTAATATTCACTTCCCCAATAATTTCTACATTCTCTTCAAAAATGAAAATAAAAAAAAAAGGGCGAAAGAAATGAAACTCAAACAAACATCATAAAATATACTAAAAAATAACATTGGTATACACCATATCTTTGATAAATAGATCTGTCTACAAATGATATTGGCATATTGCTATATATTATGATAATTGCCCAATAAATTATTGGGTGTTCTTTTAATGGTTTCAGTACCACCTCCCCCGCTTGAAAGCTTCATCTTTATGACATACCTGCATCCCTTGCCCCGGAATTTCAGCTTCTTATTGCGAATGGTCTTCTGAGGGACATCAAGCTGAAACAAAAGTGATATAACTAGACATATTTAGACAAAACTGAAACAATAACATGATAATTAAAAAAAAAAAAACATACTATGGTTCATAAATTGATCAAATGTAGGCGCATCTGAGGATACAAACTAATCAAAATTCGAAGCATATGCTAGATGTCAAAACCCAATTGCTCAATATCCAGAAAAAAAAAAAAAAAAAAAATACTTTAACATTTCTACTAATTTTAAATCACTTCCAAATACATCACACATCTTTTAGAAGATCATTTATTTATTTATTTATTTATTTTTGCTTAGACAAGTCTGATGCATAGTTTTTCATGAGAGCGATTTTCCATGCATAATTTTCAATGAGCAAAAACGAGGATCTGTTTTTCAACTCTAGTTCTTTTTTTT